TCCATCCATCCATCCATCCAACCATCCGTCCGTCCATCCATCTATCCATCCATCCATCCATTCATCCGTCCGTCCATCCATCTGTCCATTCATCCGTCCATCCATCCATCCATCCATCCATCCATCCATCCATCCATTCATCCATCCGTCCGTCCACCCATCCATCCATTCATTCGTCCATCCATCCGTCTATCCATCCATCCATCTGTCTATCCATCCATCCATCCATCCATTCATCCATCCGTCCATCCATCTGTCCATTCATCCGTCCATCCATCCATCTATCCATCCGTCCATCCATCCGTCTATCCATTCATTCTCTTCGGTTTATCCAATTCAGGGTCAAGACAGGGCAAGAAGCACAGTGTCGATACCATTTTAGCTTCAAATTATTTTGTTTTGGTTGATTATTTTAATCATTTGGCACCTTTTTCTGAGACGTTTCAATGAACAAGGAGCATGCTAGGAAATATATTACTTTTACCTCTGACTCCGGTCATAGTCCATTGTAGTGATCAGAAGCTGGAATGAAGATGCTATACATGATTTTTCCACTTATAGTGTGTGTGAGAGAGACATAGTATGTTCTGCCCCAGGCCCTAACAGAAGCCTGTGGGATAAAGCACCCTTAAGAAATAGAGCTATAGGTGCTTGTGTTTTCACCTTTGCACAAAGCCAGGTTAGTGTTTATGCTAACAAAAGGTTGAATAAGCCTGCTTGTGTCCTGATTTAATGGACAGAAATTAGAGAGGAGACAATGTTATAATCTCAAATTCAGTAAAAAAGCACTCAAGAAAAGATTTCTTCTTTTGATCTAAAAAAGCAATTTTCTCCATGTACAGTATTAACTGACATCTAAGATTGATTTGATTTGTCATACCAATATGAATCTGTCCCAGTTTTTTCTAGGGTATCACATGTAGCCCATTTAAGAGATGTGGTTGTGTCTGTTTTACTCTGTCAGATGACCATCCAACCACCTTTTTTCCTTCATCACCCACCCACACCAATAACCTTCTACTCCTTTTATCTGTTTCTCTGTCCTTCTGTGTCCTTCTCTCTTGTATGGTCATTATCACAGAGAGGTCATCAAACAGCTTTGACTCTGTCAGTCTCACTGACCCTCAACTGGCAGTATTACACGCAAGCCGCAAATGGCAATCTCATAAATCTGTCACTTCAAATCCAGCTGGGAGAGAGCGATAAATTAGGGGAACATGCAGTCTCCTGCATTATTTAATATATACAGGAAGGATGAACAGGCCATGGAGCAGGTATTAGCAGGGTTAAGGAGTGACCGGATTAAAGCAATCAGATTAAGAGAATAGATTGCAGATGCCTGATAATGTGGCCATTCACATTGTGCTCAGAGGTTGGCGTGAGCTGTGCAAATACCTGTAGATGTGTACAAATAAGACAATATTGCAATAAGAAATCCATCCACCTATCTTCTGCCACTTGATCTGGTTGTGGAGACAGTTAAGCCAAGATGCCCAGACTTCCCTCACCCAGCTACTTCCTGCAGCTCTTCTGGGGGAACTCCAAGAAGTTCCCCAGCCAGCTAAAACGCAGTATGTCCAGGGGCCTCTTCCCACTTGGACATGTCCAAGAAACCCTCACATATGAGGCATCCAGGGGGTGATCAGATGCCCAGACCACCTCAACTGTTTTGTGTTTTTTTTGCTGTAGAGGAGCAGCGGTTCTGCTTAACTGCAGTCTAACACTCATATCACAAATTTCTATCATCATTTGCATTTCTTCTCCTCATTTTTTAAAATGTCTGTTCTGTTCCGCAAACAAAACTGTTCAAGGGAAATCTTCATGCACTGGAGGGTGAAAAACAGCAGGAAGAAGGAGTAATGTTTTTTTTGTTGTTTTTTTTAAATCACAAATGAGATCCAGCTTTCTGCCACTCCTCATGCTCTACACTACAGTAGTATGAATAAAGAGTAGAGCATATGGAATTTGATTTGTTTCAGTAGGAGATGGTTCTTACCTAAAGATCTGTGGCTTGGAAACAATGCCAAATATTATTTTTTGTTCATGTTCTGCTTCAGAAATATTTATATTGAATTTAAGTTGCACAATTAAATCCTCTTTTTATATTCTCCAAAATATAATTAAGCCCCATGACTGTCTAAACATAATAAAATAATCATTTTACCCCTACTGCTTTTGTTAATTAGAGTATCGTGTCCACAGTAGCTCCATCCTAACACTTTTATCTTAAATTTCTATCATTATACACGCGACCTCTGTTTCCCTTTTTCATCATTCTTCAATCTCCACTCTGGTCTGCAAACAAAACTGCTCAAAAGAAATCTTCTTCATACACTGGGGGGAGAAAATCAGCAGGAGGAAGGACTAATATTTAAAAATCCTAAATGTGATCCAGTTTTATGGCCCTTCTTGAGTGTAGGACACAGTATTCCTTTCACAGTGGGGCAGATGATTAGGCAGAGTGCTCAGTGCTGTAAATGGATTTCTAGGACAGAATAACCGGTCCCGCTGGCCTCACTCAGGAGACAACACCCTCTCCTCCTACTGTCCCCTTTCTCTGCCTTT